AAACACACTATACACTCATTCATAAGTGGCTATTAGACATAAAGCAAAGGATAAGCAAGCTACAATCCACAACCCCAGAGAAGCTAGGTAAAGGGAAGGAGCCTAACAAGGACACACATGGAGGGCCCCAGGAAAGGAAAATAGTTAATATCTCCTGGGTAAACTGGGAAGGAGAGCAGGCGGGGGGGTGTCCCGGGGGGGAGGAATGGGAACATGAGGGCTGGAGAAGGCAGAGTTGGGGGAGGGATGGAGAGAGGATGCAATGAAAGAGGTATCTTGATAAGGAGAACCATTATGTGGATAGGGAGAAACCTGGTGCAGAGAAAATCCCAGGAATTCACAAGAATGACCCAAGCTAAGACTCCTAGCAATAGTGGAAAGGTTGTCTGAATGAGCCTTCCCCTGCAATCAGATTAGTGACTGCCCTAATTGTCACAGAACCTATATCCAGTACCTAATGGAAGCAGATGCAGTGACCCACAGCCAAGCACTGGGCTGAGCTCCTGGAGTTCAGTTGAAGAGAGGGAGGAGGGATCATATGAACAAGGAGGGTCAAGAGCATGATGGGGAAAACCACAGAGACAGCTGACCTGAGCTAGTGGGAGCTCACAGACTATGGAATGACAGCTGGGGATCCCGCATGGGACTGAATTAAGCACTCCGAATGTGGGGGACAGTTATGTGGCTTAATCTGTTGGGGGCAGTCCCTGGCAGTGGGACCATGACTTATCCTGGGTACATGAACAGGCTCTTTGGAGCCCATCCCCTATGGTGTTCCCACCTTATTCAACCTTGACACATGCGGGGAGAGGCTTGGTCCTGCCTCAACATGGTATACCAGACTTTGTTGACTACCTCAGTGGAGTGGGTGGGGCATGAGAGGGGGGAGATGAGGAGGGAGAAGGGGATGGATGGGAACTGGGGCTAGTATGCAAAAATAAATAAAAAACATTTGTTTTTCCAAAAAAATAAAGAAAAAGGCAGGAGAGAAGCTTTAGAACATACTTGGAAAGCATTATTTAGATTAGGTTAGTCTCTAAGAATATCTGTAAGGAAGCCTGGCAGTAATGGAGCACGTCCTTATCCCCAGCACTTGGGAGACAGAAGCAGGCAGATCTCTGAGAATTCGAGGCCAGCTGGTCTGCAAAGTGAGTTCCAGGACAGTCAGGGCAACACGGAGCAACCTTGTCTCAGAAAAAATAGTAACTATGAGGGATTATCTAGATTAGAATAACTGAGTCCGGGCCCATTGGCTTGGGTCCTAGACATAATTAAAAAGGAGAAATTGGACTCTGTACATATGTTCATTCTCTCTGCTTCCTGTGGATGTAACATGACAAGCTGCCTCAAGCATTACTCTCATTCCACCCCCACCATGACGAACTGCTGTCAAACTATAAGAATAAAGCTCTTTCCTCTAATTAGCTTCTTGCCAGGTATTTTGTCACAGCAATGAGAAAAATAGTATACATCATACAAGCCATGAAAACTGAGAAAAAGCCGATACAAACTGAAGGCACAAATGTCTTATCCTAGAGTAGAAACAAATGGCCATATTTGTCCTTGCACTTTCCACATTGGACACAGACTGTTCATGGTAAGACCTAGGGCTGAACATCAAATGATGCTTCGGTAGATGTCTTGGGCTTTCTCCTGGACCAATAGAATAGTTTCCATTGCTCCTTGTGTCTTAGCTACTTTTCTATCACTGTGATAAGACACCATTACCAAGCAACTTACAGAAGAAAAAGTTGAGTCTATGACCATCATGGTAGGAAACATGGCAGTGCACAAGCAGTAGCTGAGAGTTTACATCTGATTCACAAGTATGAATGTAACAAGCAGGGAGGGAGGCAAAGAGGGAGGGAGGGAAGAAGGGAGGGATGGGTAAAGAGAGGGAGAGAGAACTATAACTGGCAATGGGCAATGGTCCCACCCACCACCAGTGACATACCTCCTCCAACAAGGCCACATCTCCTACACCCTCCCAAACATTTCTACCAACTGGGAACCAAGCGTTCAAACACATGAGCCTATTGAAACCATTCTCAATAAAACTACAACATCCAGGTAACTGCTACCTACTATGGGCAAATGTACTGAGTTGCCTTTCAAATCTGTATTTAAAGGCCCATTATGGAAATATGGGGCCTCTGCATATTCAATATAAATCTAACAGTCAAACTCTATATTCCATCCTAACTAGACCTGTACAAATTCTTCCAGTAAAATAGAGAATGTACAACTCAAAGCCAGCAGGACATGGCACACTGCTGTATCAGTGTTCCTCCCCAACAATAGACTTGCACTAAGTCCCAAAGATTTTGTCTCAAACACTCCAAACAGCATCAGCTCATAGGCTGAAACATTGCCACTTCCTCTCACACTGCCACAAATCTCAGCTTAGAAAATGACAAATGCAAAATGTGCAGTGGAAACAGTAAGTCAATGAATTCTCAAAATCACTCTTCTGCCAGCATGGGACTGACCCAGACTCCATGAACGTGGGTGTCAATGAGGAGACCTCAGAAATCTATGGGGACCCTTGTAGTAGATCAGTACTTATCCCTAGCATAGAAATGGACTTTGGGAGCCCATCTCACACAGAGGGATACTCCCTGAGCCTACACAAACAGGGGTGGGCCTAGGCCCTATCCCAAAGGATATGACAGACTCTGAAGACCCCCTACGAAAGGCCTCGTCCTCCCTGGGGAACAGAAAGGGTATGGGATAGGAAGGGTGTTAGTTGAGGGGGGCAGAGGAGGAGGGGTGGGAGAGGGAACTGGGATTGACATGCAAAACAATCTTGTTTCTAATTCAAATTTTAAAAAATGGAGGGAAAAAATCACTCTTCTGTCTCCTTAACAAAAGTTAATTCACTGAGTCATAATCTCTGCAAGTATATCCAACTCATGGTCCACAGGCTTATAAGTACGACCAGAATGGCTATGAATGAAGCCCAATACAAAATAGTGAACTTGCTTAATTTTTTATTCAATATTGCATTTCTCAGGTGTGAATTTTATAAACAGCAAGTTTGAATTCCAATATAAAACTGCTGGACATATCTGCAACAGCAATAGTCAAGTGATAACTTGGAGTTTATGAACTTTCAGGTCAGTTGTAGCTAAGTTAAAGAGTTATCAGAAATCACATATTAAAAAACAAAGATGTCACAGCCAAAAGCTATCAGGGAGACCACAGAAAACCAGAAGTCTCTGGCAGTGCCAGGAAGTCATTTTTATTTTTGCTTGTCATTATTCTAAGTTCATATACCCTTGTTCTTAAACAGCACTAGTTCACATTTATGTTGACATTCAGTGACAGTGGACAATTCTCTGCTCTGTTCATTGTTGTTGAGGCAAATTGGCACAATGTCAGGTCATGGTAACAGAAAAAAAGAGGCATTTATGCAATTGCATATGTCATACACATCCAAATTTTCAATATATAATAGAGAAAAATAAATTACATTTTATATTAACAATAATATTTACACTGATAACATTTATTTAGGCAATTTGCACACCTATCTCTGATTATCTCATCATCATTGCCATGGTTACTATTCATTACCAACTTGACAGAATTTAGAATCTCCTAGTAGGCACATCTGGACGTGACTGAGTTTCCAAAGAGGTTTGACTAAGGAGAAAAGCACCACTCTAAATGTGTACAGCAGCATCCCATGATCTAGAGTCCTGACCTATATAAAAAGGAGGAATGGAGAAAGCCAAATTAAGCAACAGAATTCCAGAATTCTCCATTCTCTCCTCTCCCTCTCTCCCTCCCTCCCAGGACACATGTGAAATGGCTCACAACCACCTCCAGCTGCAGGGGATCTGGCTCTTTGGCCTCTTCCAGCACTGCACTCAGCTGCCTGCACCTACACATAGTCACATATGAAAATATGTAATTAAAAACAACATAAGTCTTTTTTTAAAAAAGTTCACTGCCAGCCCAGGACACACAGCAACCTTGTCTCAAGAAAATAAAAAAAGAGGAAAAAAATATAAAAGAAAACAGTAATCATATAAGAAAATACTCAGAAGTTAATATACCACTGTGACCAATATGCTGCTAAAATGCATGAATAGTATCACAATTGCATCCTTATGTATTTATATATCATCCAAACTAGCTACAATGAGATTTTATAATAATGTCTTGTATTTTAATCCTTGGGATTATAAATGTAAGTGCAAACATCACTTCTTTTTTAGTAAGAGTATGACCATTCATAACTGTGGTGTGGTTCATTGTTCTCCTCTAGGAAATACTGTTTTTGATACAGGGTCTCACTAGGTCTCACTATGTAGCCTTGACTAGCCTGGAGCTCATAATATAAACCAAGCTTACATCGAATTCAAAGAAATCCACGTGCATGAGCCAGGATGCCAGGATTAAAGACATGCACCACCATGGCCAGATGAACTCAACGTCAGCAAACTCAATCTAGTCAGAGCTTAAAGTTAGTAACTTAAAATTTGAGGGCCATAGGTCACTACTATCCAATGCTGTTTTGTCAAACAAAAAACCCATAGACAAAGTTTAGATAAGTGTGGCTAGGTCCCAATAAAATTTACATGCAAAAAGAGGTAGGGAGAGGTATTTGCACAAGAGCCATAGTTCGCTGGTCCTTGATTTGTTTACCTTCATCAGAATAAAAATAAACACAGAGGTCCTGTTACTTCCACTGTTGAATCTCCTCTGTAATAACTTTCAGAGACATACTAACCCTATTTTGCAGAAGACAAGAATGAGACTTAAGACGTAAGACAAAAATGAGAGTTATTAGATGATTTAAAGAAAAATCTCCCTTTGGTCTAGCCAATGGCCTCAATGGAAGTTCAGGAGACCTCTTCACTGCTTATACGTGAGGGGAAATGGTAATAAAAGGGATATTTTCTTAACATTTCTTAAGCAACTTCCTAGGGCCTTGCATTGGACCAAAAGGAAGGCTTCCTGAGTTCTATAGCTACACGCTGCTGAAGACTTACCAATATTAATCTCATCATCGGTCAGAGTGTCCCCGATGAAATCAAACTGAAATGACTGCAGTGTCTGAGAAAATTTCTGAACCGCAGAAGAGTAATCTGCAAAGGAAGATGACAGTAGACATGGTCAGCACGGTTATCCTCTCACCAAGTCCCTCCTCACAGTTACAGCACACAGGAAACACAAAGGGACATCTGACAAGCAACCACTTGTAGTCAAGGAAGCAAAGAAATTTTAATCAGTTCTTCCTTTCAGAAGAAAGTCTGAACAAATGAAACAGCTATTTAAAAGACTCTTGAAGCCAGGCATTGGTGGCACACGCCTTTAATCCCAGCACTGGGGAGGCAGAGGCAGGCGGATCTCTGTGAGTTCGAGACCAGCCTGGTCTACAAGAGCTAGTTCCAGGACAGCCTCCAAAGCCACAGAGAAACCCTATCTCGAAAAACAGAAACAACAACAAAAAAATAAGTCTTGAACACTTCACAGCATGTTCTCATCCTTAATCCCTCTCCTCTCTGACTTGAAACTACTTAACTGAACTTTCCATTATGCATAACAGGCCAATATTTTCTTAAGAGTGCATCAACTTCTGAGTTCTTTTAGGTGTCTGTTCTTACTATTGTTTTATTCTCTAGCTTACAGACTTAAATCCAATTTATATGGAATAAATTGCCAAGAGCCTCTCCCAGTCCAGATAGCCCTCTTTCAATAAACTGTTTTAAAATGATTTCCAAAAGTGATGATGGTGCTTGCTCCCTACTAAAATTTTTTTTAAAGTGCTATAGACTTGCATGAGATCCGGGAGACCCTAAGGTAGAAGAACTTCTCTTACCATTTTATCTGAAACAATATGCCCCTTTCCTACCTGCCTTCCCCCCTTGCAAGGAACTCTCAGCACTTATGAAAGGCCAAGGACCTGGCACTTTCTCATTAGTTATCACTTGTTCAGGCTATCTGAGACATGCTGGGGACCTACTCCCCTCTGCATGAGGCAAGAGGTCACTTTAGTTTACATTACTACCAACAACAGGACATTAAGCATCCCGTAGCCTTTTTTAGGTCCTACCTCTTTAGCTTCAGGCGCTGCTCACCTTGATCTGTCCTACACACAAGGTTAGAAGAAAACTGATAGATTTCTCTGGCTACCTCCTAGCTTGCCTCTCAGACAACTGCAGCAAGTTAACCCCTCAAAAGCTTAGGAAGATAATTTTAGACTTTCTCAAACCTAAAAGTTTTTCTATAAATAATATTTTTAAAAGGTCCACTAAAATTCCTTATGTAGTTTTTAAGCTCAAAGATCAATAATTACAAAGACTAGCTAAACTTACAAAATTACCAAGTGGTCTTCTGGGTGTTCCATGACTATACTTGGAGGTATATACTGATGTAGTTAGAAGAATTAAATAGGAAATACTCGCCCCCTTGTCTTCTAGGGTCAATTAGATCCCAGGGGATTGTGAATCATTTCTTAAAATGCTCTGTAATCATGGGGAGTCACCTGTTCTCTTGTTCAGGGAGGTCAAGGAGATCCCATCTGGTGAATTCTAACCAATGCCCAGTCTACAAAAGGAAGAATAACACAGAAGAAAATTTCCCTCATGCTTCCAAATAACACAATGGTCAAGTAAGGCCTTTGACTTATCCTGACATAGGTAGAATAACTGGTTAAAAATAAAAGGACTAAAGGAGCCAGAGGTTCCACCCAATCCCACATGACCCCTAACATTAAAAAAATTAATAATTTTCACAACTTACATTGCCTAAAACACCCAGCAGAAAAGAATAACCAGGATAAGCAAGAATGTCAGTATGCTTCTTTAATATTCCAAAGGACTACATTCCTCAGACATTACTAGTTCTCACTAGTGATTCACACATCGTCAGTATGCCCCTGTACTCCCTAATCCTTGAGACACTATTGGATAACATCCTATTACAAAAAAGAAAATAAAAACCTGATGGGATTCCATTTCTCCTTTAAGTCATTAGTTAGAAGCTGACTTTAACTGACTTCTCTTCCAAAGCTTCCAGGTGTTTGTTCCTTAAACAGGAGTCAGATGGAACAAACAGCTGTTTATACAGTTACTTATCCTTCTACAAGGCTCTACTAAGCAGTTCATTAAGCTACATAATTACATTTCACCTTACTAAACAAAAGTATTTTAATTGTGATGTTGAAAACTTTTTCATTAACTTTATCTCTTAATATTCGCCACAAGGTTATAATAAATGAGATCAAATGGCTGACTTCTTAACTTATGCTTGCCAAAAAAAAATGCCTCGAGCTCTTGAGCCAAACTAATAGCCTTACATCTTGTAATGGACAATGGTGACAAAAAAAAAATCAGTTTTGCTCAGATTTTGATGATCCCTCACGAAAGGCATCACCCTCCCTGGGGAGTGGAGGGGGTGTGGGTGGGAAGGAGGGGTCCATAGGGGGCATGGGAGGATGGAGCGGAGAGGGAACTGGGATTTATATGTAAAATAAGATTGTTTCTAATTTAAACAAAAATTATTAAAAAAAAGAAAAAAATCAGTCTTGCTAATACCTATGACAAAGCCTGACAAGGGTTTTTATATGGTTTTCTTGTCTGTTCTCTCCCTACCATATGGCAAAACTTCCCCAAGTATTTTAACTAAGATCTAAGCAAAAATGATAGCAGCCATAACAGTCTCACTTTTTGTATGTAACAGATTCTCCCACACTTAGCACACTCCAAGGATGCACACTGTTGTCACATGGCTGTGTTATGTATGGATCTTTGTCATCTATTAGGTTTAGTCATGGCCTTATTATTAGATCAACTCTCCTCTGAGGCACTCACACTGATGCCCCTTCTACATCACCTTTTGATAGCTTGGAAGCAGTTAGAGTAGTCTGTACCCCAAAACTCCAAACAGCAGTTAGAGTGATCTCTGAGGTGAGGAATTGAGGAATTAGGAGTTAGGCAGATTCCATGATAGGCAGAGAGATAGGGAAAGAAGCCCAGACTAGGTAATAAAAATGGTTAACTCCTAAGACAGCTGACTGAGACAGAAGCCTAATGGCTTAAAACAAAGACGTGGTATGATTTTCTCCTACAAGTAACAAATAAGACTTCCTGCTAATGGACAGGCTGATGAATTCAAGGCAAACCAGATGACACAGCTGTAGGACAATCAGTCATCGAGTCCTTGTTCAAACTGACCAACCCTAAATTAGATGGGAAAGACTCTTAAAAACCCAGCCTTGGCTATATGTAGTAGGACACACCTTAATTCCAGCACTCAGGAGGCAGAGGCAGACAGATCTCTGTGAGTTTAAGGCCAGTGTGGTCTACAGAGTGAGTTCCAGAACAACCAGAGCTACATAGTAAGACCCTGTCTCAAAATAAATAGCCCTGGAGGAGAGACTGGATTTTTCGGGCTCTCCAGTGCCCCTCCAGTTTATATAGAGTCTTTCTCTCCATCTCCTTGATGGGTGTGTCATTGCTTATCTCAAATTGCTAAGCAACCATCCCCTACCCTGCTGCTAGTCTAGCTTACTTTGGCACTGGGCTTTCACTTCACCTGTAAAGATACTGGGGGACCCTAGAAACAGCAAAAAGGGCTTTCCTAAATGAAATATAACTCTCATCTTTTGGCAAAATATTGTAAAACTCGCTCCTCCCCAACATTTGTCTTAGGGACTTTAAGCCTACTTCACAAGGTCCTCTAATGTGTTTCCCCTCTCCCCCACTTACCTATGAACAAGGGTGTCACTTCCCTCCAACATTACCAATGCAACCTCACCATCACCACCTGTGCACCACAAGACTATCTGAACCACTTCATCCCCGATAACCCTTCTGACCATATCCACCTAACTGGCCATCCCATTTTAAATCTAACTGAGCCCTCTGCTGGTTCCCAGTATTGCTGGGGATGAGGAGAAAAATTTGGCTTACCTGCTCTAGGAAAATCCGTTCAAATTCTTACCTACCACCCCACTTTATTCAAACATGATGAAGTCGAACTGGTGCCTACTTAGAGCCTTCTTCACTCCTACTGACTAGTATTCAGGGTACTTTAAGGTACTCTGCACACTAACAAGGAGAAAGGTAAACTAAAACCAAACTACAAACCCTACAATCTAGAGTGGTGACCTACCTGAAAGATGTGCAGCTGCAACAGTGGGAGTAACCAGCTAAACTCTGATTGGATTTAAGGACCGCTATATGAAATGGAAACCAATCCTTACACGGATGGCCAAGAACCTGAGACTAGATAGGGTAGGGGCCAAAGGAAAAATCAAATACTACTATTTTTCTAAAGGAATATAGCTAAGAAATTACCCTGAGAAGCACTCGAAACAGTTCAAGGCATGAAAGCTGAAATAGAAACAATAAAGAAAACACAGAATGAGGTGATGCTGGAAATAGAAAGGCTGGATAAATGATCAGGAACTAAAGATGTGAGTATAACCAATATAATTCAAGAGATGGAAGAGAGAATCTCAGTTGTTGAAGACTCTCTAGAGGATATACAGTCATCGACCAAAGAAAATCTCAAGTCCAACAAATCCTTAACACAAAATATCCAGGAAATATGGGACACTGTGAAAAGGCCGAACCTAAGAGTAATAGGTATAGAAAAAGGTGAAGAAATACAGCTCAAAGGTACAGAAAACATAATCAACAAAATCATAGAAGAAAACTTCCCCAACCTGCAGAAGGATATGCCTATGAAAGTACAAGAAGCTTACAAAACACCAAATAGACTGGACCACAAAAAGAACTCCCCTGACACATAATAATCAAAACACCAAACCTACAGAATAAAGAGAAAATATTAAGAGCAGCAAAGGAAAAAGGCCAAGTAACATACAAAGGCAGACCTATCAGAATCAAACCCGACTTCTCAGTGGAAACTGTGAAAGCCAAAAGTCCTGGATAGATATCCTACAAACACTAAGGGAGCATGGATGCCAACCCAGACCCAGCAAAACATGCAATCACTATAGATGGAGAAAACAAGCTATTCCATGACAAAACCAGACTAAAACAATACATATCCACAAATCCAGCACTAAAGAAAATTCTGGAAGGAAATGATAACTACACTCACAAAAACATAGGCA